GGCGGCCGCCGCGCGCCGCGCAGCCCAGCCCCGCAGCATCCTCGCGCGCGGGGGCCGCCCGCAGTCCAGACGGAGAAACCGAGACCAGGCGGGTACTGGGCTCCGGGAGGCGCCGGCTGCCGCTAATAACAACGGGAAAACACAGTACAGATAGCTCACCGTTGGATAGGGCGCTTCCTAGGTGCCAGGCTCTGTCCTCGGGGTTTTTAAGTGTACTGACTGTTGTTGTTGCTGGGTGCCGCCAAGTCGATTCCGACTCATAGCGACCCCAAGTGACAGAACAGAACTGCCCCATAGGGTTTCCTAGGCTGTAACCTTACTGAGGCAGATCACCAGGTCTTTCTCCCGCTCAGCTTGCTGAGTGGGTTCAAACTGTCAACTTTTCAGTTAGCAGCTAAGCACTAAACCACTGTGCCACCGGGGCTCCTTATAATAATAATATCGGCAGCAACAAGAGGGACCACCTTACGATGTTTACTAGGTGCCAGGCACGGTGCTAGCCAGTTTTCAACCTACAAAGCCTTTAATGAAAGTAGCAAACATTGTAGGAGTCCCTGGCTGGTACAAACAGTTAAGCACTCAACTACGAGTCAAAAGGCTGGCAGTTCAAATCCACCCAGAGGCGCCTCGGAAGAAAGGCCTGGCTACCTGCTTCCAAAAGGTCACAGCCTTGAAAACCCTATGGAGCAGTTCTACTCTGCACACACGGGGTCGCCATGAGTCAGCACCAACTAAACCACAACTAACAGTAACGACGTTGACAATAATTGTACTTGTATCAACAGCTACCAGGAAGAACATGTTAATCACACTTGCTTTGTGCAGATACTGTTCAAAATGTTTCAAAACGTATGGACACATTTGGGCCAAGTGTTACATGAGCTTCATGTCATGTAACATCACATCACCCCTGCTTAGAACTCTGCAGAGACGTCCCAAAATTAAAGGCAAAGTCCTCCCCACCATCTGCGAGGTCCTGCTCTCCCCTCCTCCACTCTCCCCCCCGCTCACTCCGCTCCAGCCACACCGGCCTCCTCACTGTTCCTGCAACTCACCAGGCACCGTTGTGCCTCAGGGCCTTTGCACGGGCTCTCTGCACACATTCCCTGGAACACTCTCCCCCCAGGTCTCCTTCAGTTCCGATTGCCTTCTCTGTCCACCTTATCTAAAATTGCTCAGCCATTGTTTCTTCCTTTCTCAGCCTTCTTTTTTCCTCCATAACATTTATACCCATTTAATAGGACACATCCACCACGCGTCTGTCAGTCTGTCATACTGTGGTGGCTCGCACGTTGCTGGGATGCTGGAAGCTATGCCACCAGGATTTCAAATACCAGCAGGGTCACCCATGGTGGACAGGTTTCAGCAGAGCTTCGAGACCAAGACAGACTAGGAAGAAAGGCCTGGCGATTGACTTCTGAAAATCAGCCAATGAAAACCCTATGGATCACAACAGAATATTGCCTGATATAGTGCTGGAAGATGAGCCCCCGAGGTTGGAAGGCACTCAAAATACACAGCAGACCAACCATCGTGAAGACGCTGCAGGACCAGGCAACATTGCGTTCTGTTGAACATGGGGTCACCAGGAGTTGGAGTTGACTTGATGGCCACTAACCACAATACGCTATATACACACTTGTTTGTTGATACACCTCATAGCAGATCCTTGGTAGCTTTTCCACGTGCCAGGCTCTGTGTTAAGTGCTTTGATAAGTATTAACTCATTCGTTGGAAGAAGCCCTGGTGGCACAATGGCTAAGTGCTCGGCTGCTAACAGAAAGGTTGGTGGTTCGAACCCACCCAGTGGCTCCGTGGGAGAAAGACCTGGCAATCTGCTTCGGGAAAGATGACAGCCTAGAAAACCCTATGGGCAATTCTACTCTGTCACGTGAGGTCGCTGTGAGTCGGAATTGACTCGACAGCACCCAACACCAACAGCATACTTATTTAGTCCACCCAGCAAACTCTGAGATGGATGCCAACAAACAGGTCACTTTCAGACTGTGAGAAATGCAATGAAGATGCTAGAGCCAGGGAAGTGTTTGTGAGACTTTAGGGGGTAAGCTCGAGGAGGCCTGCTTGAAGGAGGTGGCCTTCAAGTTACTATCTAAGGGAGAAGGGGGCAGACAAATAAGAACTGGAGGAAAGGATGTCTGGGCTGAAAGAATAGCCAGTGCAAAGGCCCTGAGGCAGGAAGCAGCCTGACAAGTTGGAGAAACAGTGAGGAGACCAGTGAAGTTGGAATAAGACGAACACTACATTGAGTAAGTGAGGGACAGAAGTCTGTGGTGGGCTGGAGAGGGTGGTCACAGGGGCTCTGTGCCAGGCACAAGCTGAACAATTTATGTGAAAATTAATCCTCAGGGCTGGGACTAGGGTGAGGAGAGTGAGGCATTTGCCTCAAGTGCAAAATTCAAGGCATGGGAACCAAAAACCGCCGTCATCAAGATAAACACTATTCCATTGTATGCGTAGACTACATTTTGTTCATGGTATATCCATACGATGGAATATTATTCGGCCACAAAAAGGAGTGAAGTTCTGATACATGCTACGGAACTCATAAACCTCAGAAACAGTATGTTAAAGTGGACGAAGCAGCCAGACACAAAAAGCCGCATATTGTATGATTGCTTTGACATGAAGTGTCCCCAACAGGCCAGTCCACAGACAGAAAGTAGATTAGTGTCTGCCAGCAGCTGGGGAAGGGGGAAATGGGAGCGACAGCTGATGGGTAGGGGGTTTCTCTCGGGGTGATGAAAACGTCTTGGAATTACATAGTGGTGTTTGCATGAGCAGCTTTGGTGATGCAGCGGTTAAGCGCTTGGCTGGTAACCAAAAGGTTGGCGGTTTGAACCCACCAGCTGCTCTGTGGAAGAAAGACCTCGTGGTCCTGCTTCCGAGTAAAGATTACAGCCTTGGAAACACTATGGGGCAGTTCTAACCTGTCCTAATGCGTAGCTATGACTCCACAGCAATCGGTCTGGGTTTTTTTGGGTTTGATGTTTGCACAGGTCCCTGGGTGGTGCAAATGGTTTGCAATACAGCTAGTAACCTAAAGGTTCGTGGTTCGAACCCACCCAGCAGCTCCATGGAAGAAAGGCCTGGCAATCTGCTTCTGTAAAGATGACAGCCTAGAAAACCCTACGGAGCAGTTCTGCTCTGTAACACGTGGGGGCGCCGTGAGTCGGAATCGACCCAATGGCAACAGGTTTGGTTATTTTTTTACGCTGGCACCACCCCGTGAATATACTAAAAACCCACTGAGTTGTAACAATAAGATAATTAAATATTTTTGTGAAATATATCTAAAAATTAATATTAATGCAAAAAAAATCACAATGAAGAAAATGTTCATTTTTAATAAAGACAGGATTGGGGTTGGCGAGTGTGCCCTTGCCTTGGCACAGCCCTGCCACCCACCCTGCCTTTAATTTTGCAATACTTATTTAGTGTCTGCATTTTTATGGTACATTTAAATTAAACAATAAGGACAGACAAGATTGGTACCAGTGCCATGCCGAGGGAAAAGGAAAACTCCACAGTGCGGATCCTGTCTATATTTACAATGTTGGCATTTTGTGCATTATGGACTTTTTGGGCATTAATTTTTTTTTTTTATTGTACCTCAGGTGAAGGGTTACAGAACAAATAGCTTCTCATTAAACAGTCAGTACACATATTGTTTTATGTCATTGGCTAACAACCCCATGACATGTCAACCCTTTCCCTTCTCAACCTTTTTTTTTTTGGTGAAAATATACATAGCCAAAGAGACATCATTTCAAAAATTTCTGCATGCACAGTTCAGTGACATCGATTATGTCCTTCTCGTTGTGCTGCTAGTCTCACTTTAGATGAAGGTTTACAGAACAAAATAGTTTCTCATTAAATAGTTAGTACACATGTTGCCCTATGACAATGGTTAACAAACCCACTACACGTCAACACTGTCCTCACTCAACCTTGGGTTCCCTGTCACCAGCTTTCCTGTCCCCTTCTGCCTTCTAGTCCTTGTCTCTGGACTGCTGTGCCTCATTAGTCCCATTTTGTTTTATGGGGCTGTCCACTCCCCGGCTGAACGGTGAACCTCGGAAGTGACTTCACCACTGCGCTAAAAGGGTGTCTGGGGGCCATACTCTCGGGGCTGGGCATTAATTTTGATTTAAAAATCGATTGCATTAAACTACTCTTCATCCTGATGACAGAGTCCCTGCTATTCCTCACAGTTACCTGAAAGCGTAAGTACTGCTCCTGCCCCCATTTTACGGAGGGGAAAACTGATGCTCAGAGAGGCTCAGTCACTTGTGCAAGGTCACAGAGCCAGAGACCTGGGATTTGAACCCCAGCAGTCAGCTCCAAGGAGCTTCCAGGCTGCACAAGCAGTTAAGGGCTTGACTATTAGCTGAAAGGTTGGTGGTTCAAACTCATCCAGAGGTGTCTTGTAGGAAAGGCCTGGCGATCTTCTGAAAGATTATAGCCTTGAAAACCCTCTGGAGCACAGTTCTACTCTCACACACATGGGTTGACATGAGTTGGAGTTGACTTGCTGGCAACTAATATCAATCGCCAGCCCCGGAGCCCGTACACTTCCCACGACCCTGTATTGTCTTCCTTGTGCTTTAGGAAGCTAAGCCTCAGTTTCCCCACTAGCCAAATGGAGCTAAAGAGAGAAAATAGGGTAAGGATCCTTGGGAGGACTCAATGAGCTAAGTCCTAGGACTTAGCATAGTGCTTGGTACATCCTAAAAAGACAAAACCAAACCAAACTTCATTGCCATCCAGTCGATTCTGACTCACGGCGACCCTTTGTGTTACAGAGCAGAACAGATCCATAGGGTTCCTTGGCTGTTATCTTTACAGACAGGAGCCCTGTTGGCACACTGGTTAAGTGCTTGGCTGTTAACTGAAAGGTTGGTAGTTCAAACCCACCCAGCAGCTCCGAAGAAAATCCAAAAAAACCAAACCCACTGCCGTTGAGTCGATTCCGACTCCTAGTGATCCCACAGAGTTTCCGAGGCTGTAAATCTTTACGGAAGCAGACTGCCACTTCTTCCTCCCGTGGGGACCTGGCGATCTGCCCCTGTAAAGATGACAGCCTAGGAAACCTTATGGGGCAGTTCTTCTCTGTCACACGGGGTCGCCATGAGTCGGAATCCACTCGATGGCCCACAACAACAATCTTTATGGAAGCAGATAGCCAGGTCTTTCTTCCACAGCATTGCTGGGTGGTTTTTAAACACCAACCTTCAGGTTATTAGCTGGGAGCAAACCGTTTTCGCCACCCGGGGCCCTTGGTACATCCTTGGGGTGCAATAAATGGCTATTGTCATTATAACTGGCAGCCACCTGCTCACCCCCAGACAGCAGCGGGATGTCAGGGTTGGGGGAGGAGCAAAGCAGGAGTGAGGCGATAGGAGTGCTCCCACTGCACGCCACCCCTTGGTCCTGCCCAGCCCTGGTGCTCAGGTTTAGCCAAGGGCCAGGCCCAGGGAGGCAGCTGCTGTCTCCATGGAGACCTGAGCAAGATGCTCGGAGCCTTGTGGGCCTCTGGTGTGACAGAGCATCATTAAATACATATAAAAGCCCACCGCCCCTTCCATGAGCCGAGGATGTGTTTAGCCCCTCCTCCTTCTTCCCCACAAGATCGGTGGAGGGACAGGGGAAGGGTGGGGAGAAGCCTAGCTCAGGTCTGACCTGCGGGGGCTTAAATGCAGCGTTTTGCCTCCCAGATGCCACTTGTCCCTGGAATGTATTCCCCGAGACAGCTGGCATAGCTCAGGCACGTCAGGGAATCACTGAGGGAGAGAAAGACGAACATGTGGGTCTGGAGGCATTGAGAGCTCACAAAGCGGATTCTCTGAGTTACTACTGTCGTTGCGTTGTTGCCGTCCAGTCAGCTCTGACTCACGGCAACCCCATGTACAGAACAAAACGCTGCCCCGTCCTGCGCCACCTTCACGGTCGCTTGTCTGCGTGTGGCTGTCTCATCGAGGGCCTCCCATTTTCACTGGCCCTCTACTTGAGCAACCATGATGCCCTTCTCCAGGATCAGCTCCTCCTGATGACATGTCTAAGGTGAGTGAGCTGTCGCCAGTGACCGCCCTGACAGGGAACACCACAGAGAGTCCCCGACTGAGCGGGGGGAAAGTACAGAGCAGAACTCAAACTCACGTAAAAAGACCAGACGTATGGTCTGACTGAGACTGGAGGAACCCCCGAAGCCATGGCCCCTGGACGATCTGTTAACCTAGAACTGAAACCATTCCTGAAGCCCACTCTTCAGACAAAGATCAGACCAGACTATAAAACCTAAAATAATACTGGTGAAGAGTGTGCTTCTTAGTTCAAGCAGATCCATGAGATCAAATGGGCGGCTCCTGTCTGGAGCAGGATGAGAAGGCAGGAAGGGACGGGAGCTGGTTGGAGGGACACCGGAAGCATGGGGTGGAAAGGGGGGGTGTGCTGTCACATTATAGGGATTGCAGCTAGGGTCACATGACAACGTGCATAGAAATTTTGTATGAGAGATTAACTTGAGCTGTGAACTTTCACCTAAAGGACAATAAAAAATAACTAAATAGAGTTGAAGTCTAGGACAATATGCACCTTGGAAGAAAGGCCTGGCAATCCTCTTCCCCAAAAGCAGCCAGTGAAAACCCTATGGAGCACAGTTCTGAGACACAGGGGGTTTAGCTTATGTTTTATTGCCTTAAAAACAAACCAACAAACAAAAGCCCTCCAGGAGCAGATTAAAGCCACTGGCCTCGGCCTCCTTTTGGGCCCCAGTGAAGCGTGCAATGCCCTCCTTGAAGAACGTGTCCCAGCCACCTCCTGTGCTGCTGTCCAGGTGGATGGGGACCTCAGAGGACACACGGAGGCACTGGGGGGCCCTCCTATGTGTCTGGCCTGGGCAGGATCTGAGTTCATCTTCACAGCCATCCTCGGCCTGTCGGGGACCTTTCCAAACTGCAAGCCGGGCCATGTCCCTCCCCTCAGGGTTCCCATCACATTGAGACCAAAATGCAAACACCGCCCCAGGCCCACAGGCCCTCTGCCTGAAACACGTCCCCAGACACCTACCTGCTTCTCGCTCACACACCACAGGCTGTACCCACCAGGGCCACCAGACGGCGCCCATGAGCACCTGAGTCAGGCCCGTCCCTCCTGCTCACAGCCTTCCAGGGCCCCACCTCCCTCGGGTAAAAGCCAGAGTCTTCCCCGCCGCCCACAGGGCCCTGCACAACCTCCCCGTCTCCTCCTGTCCTCTCCTCCTCCTCTCTCCCCTTCGCTCACTCCGCTCCAGCCACACAAGGCGTCCTTGCTCTTCCTCTAACTCACCAGGCCTGGTGCTGCCTCAGGGCCTTTGCACGGACTGTGCTTCCTGCACATCTCCACATGGCTTAATCTTTCTTGTCGTTCTGATTTCACAAAAAGCCCCCTCAGGGCCTATGTGAACTCTATTTCCTGCACTTTTTCTGTAAACTCAAAACTGCTCTAAAAAATAAATCTATTAAAAAATAAAGTCTGTATATGCATCATGGCCTGGGTCCACCTACACTCTGTCCCCTTTGCAGGAATGTCCTTCCTGCCCTTGTCTGCCACGTGGCAAACTCCGACAACTTTTCGTGGCACAAAACTCCATCCTTCAGGAAGCCTTCCGTGACTGCCATACCTGACCCACGACCACAGAAACTAGAGCGAGCCTTACCAGGCCTTCTGGACAAGTATCCCCCGTTCTGCGTCCCTCTCTGTGGAGTGTCTGTGTCCACTCCTGGCCTGTCCTGCCAGCCTGGGGCCTGTGAGGTGGGCCCAGGGCTGAGCCCTCCTTGGACCCTGGTACAGGGTGGGGTGCCCAGTGGGAAGGCTATCATTGCTCCCCAAGTGGATGAGCCAGAGTCTTCACTGGCGCCTGCATGCGGGGCCGAGGGATGCTGCAACTGGGTGAAACCTTGTTCTTCTTTGCTACCCTGGTGCCTGGTGCCAAGAGCCACTGGGGTGACAGATGCTCAAGGACAGATAGGCAGGCAGGCACAAGGTGGTGGCTGTGTCTCAGCCTGCAGAGGGAGGCGGGCTGGGCTTGGGGCCAGGCGGGGACCCCGCTCCTCCCACTGGCTCAAGGCCAGCTTGTCTGTCTTTCCCAGGGTCACCCACCCACTGCGGGGGCAGATGACCCCAAGACCGGGCGCAGACTGCGAGTCCTCCAGGCCCCACAGAAGACACCTACGGGTGATCATTCAATATGGCTTTATTTCTCTCCCAGAATGGCCACTGTCCCCGCCAGCGTGGGCGCCCCAGACAGCTGGGCCACTGTGAGGCCCCGCTCAGGGACATTGGTGTTAACAGCTCAGAGGAACCCCACGCACACCTGGACTCCACCTCTGTGCCTAGGTGCCTGTCTCAGCGCTGCATCCGGCCCCTGGGACGCTCGGTGAACAGGCTCTGGGAGGACCCCTGGGCAGGGCAGTGGCAGGAACAAGAACCTCCAACCCACGGCTGCGCCTCCCCACATGAAGAGCCCACTGGGCCTGGCAGTCCATTAACACCAGGCTGGGCTGACACAGTGGGGGACAGTCTGCCCGGCGCCAGGAGAGTGGTGAGCCTGGAGACACAGCGACCAAGAGCTTCCAGCGTTGGGGACAGGACGCAGGGCCTGGCTGGGGAGGAAGCTGGGCTGTCCCCTTCTCCAGTCCCGAGTTCTCAAGGACAGCCAGGGGCTGTCTGGGAGTAAGGACCCTCCCAGGGCAGCCTGCCCCTCAGCATCAGAACCTGGTGACCATGGACAAGGGCCCCAGCAGGTCCCAAGCCCCGTCGGCCCTCTGGGGAACACTTCAGTAATTATATTGCTAACGAATGGACACACCTGGGTCTCCCTGAGGTTAACTCTGGCCTGGCCCGGGGGCTGCTGTCCCCTCCCACACCACACACCCCTCCCCCCGTCCCCTGGTCTCTCGCCTCCTCTGGGTCCCAAAACAGCAGCCCAAAGGTGGGTAGTGAGGGCGCAGTGGGGCCGGGGGCGGGGGTCCTGGGCGGCCAGCAGCCCTTTCCCTCCTCCAGGCACCTGCTATCACCCTGTCTGGCCTGGCCCCTCCGACGCCGAGCCGCACCCCGGCCCTGGAACATCACAAGCGCCTGGATTCCCAGAGATCAGCCAAAGCGCGGGGTGGCTGCAGGAAAGCCACGAGGGGTTGGGGGGCCAGTAGCTGCGCTCGGTCACTTTTGGGCCCACATCAGCAGGAACGTGACGGGAAGGGACAGAGGGGAGGCAAGAGCTGCGGGCGAGCGCAGAGGGACAGAGCACCCACAAGGACACCCAGAGCCCCCCTGAGGGCTGCTGTCCTCAGGGCTCACGAGGGCCTGGCCGGGGACACCACACGGGCAGGCGGGTGGGCAGGACAGAGGTGGCGGAGGCGGCTGCCCTCTCCGGAGCACAGCTAGGTCAGGTCAGCAGGGCCCGGGCACCGGAAAGCGGGGCCGTCCTGGCGCGTTTCCTCTTTAAAGCTCATACTACACGAAGCTGGCGGGGCTCCTCCAGTCCGTGGCTGCCCCTGGGCCTCCACCAGGCTCTCCTCCACGCAAGTTCAGAGGGAAAAAAGGACAAAGGAAAGCACCCCCCAAGTCCGAAAGAGCAACACAGAACACCTCTGTAATTCAGTTTCAACCATGGGTGTGGAAGGTGAGGTCCGTGCCCAACTGGCTGCCTCGGCTGGCGGGTCCACAGGGCGCGGCCCTCGGGCTCCAGGTCACTGCGTCTTGGCCTTCAGGAGCACCCTCTGGACCGTCTTGTACAGGAGGTCGAAGTGCTGGGCACAGTGGGAGGGAGGGAGGGAGGGAGGGTGGGGTGAGGGCCAGCAAACCCCGAGCCCCCGAGGACACCTATAGGTGCCTGTGGCCAGCAGCACAGGGTGGTCACCTGCTCGGGGGCTGACACCTGGGTCCAGACCCCACCATGTCGACCCCCTCAATCTCCCGCTACCCCCCAATGAGCCCCGCCCTGCCTGCTCACCTGTACGGCCGTGTAGGCCATTCCGAGGTAGGCGCCGATGCAGACAGCCAGGAGCAGGTCGAAAATGGCCGGCTTGACCCTGGTGGGGGAGGGCAGGTGGCGGGTCAGAAAGTGCAGGGGCCGTGGGGTCACTGGCTGGGGTCCCCGTCCCTGCAGCTGTAACAGGAGGTGTGCACGGTGAATGTGGACTGAGATTCCACGAAGCTCTGCAGGTGGCCCATCAGCCCTGGGGCGCTCCACCCACCGTGGGGTCTCCCTGGGGCCCTGGCATGCTGAGAAGCCCAACAGCGCGACTCAGGGTGGGGACTCTGGGATCCTGCGGTATCGGTCGACTCGGAGACTGAGAACAGCCGCGTGAGCAACCGATCAGTTGTCCTACATGACGGAGCCCCGGCAAGATGCCTGGATGCCTAGGCTCAGCAAGCGCCCGTCGGCACAACTCCACGTGTGCTGCCACATGCTGCCACAAGGTGACGTGTCCCCCGGACCCTGCCCCAGGCGCCCTTCCCCGGGCTGATTTTAACCTGTCCCTTTCGCAGTAATACAGTGTAACCACAACGGCTTCTGTGAGCTCTGAGTCTTTCTGGCGTTATCGAGCCCCTCGGTTTGCAGGTGACGTCAGAAGGGAGGGTGGCCTTGGGGACGATGCCTTCTATCCTGGCACATGGGGACGATGTATGTGCGTGGACCCCTGGGCCAGGGCAGCCTGATCCCAACGGACGGGGCGACGCTGACGGGTTACGCGGAGACACACTCAGTGCGGGGGGCCTGCCCGCCGCCCGGCACTCACCTGTACGCGTTCATCACCTGCTTTAGCTGGTCGTAGAAGACAAACTCGGGGTCCCTGAGGGAAAGAGGGCACTGTCAGGGGGCCACCCCTGTCCTGGGCCCTCCCAACACTAGACGCGGCCCAGGAACAATGCCAGCACCTCGTGTATGTCAGCTCCAGGCTGCCGACGGTCCCTTCTGGAGAAGGGCTTATTTGTCCTAAGATCCTTCCTGTGACTGTTGCTGGGTGTTAAAATGTGCTTTTCAAAAGTGAAAAATGGTGACTGTAAACATTTTTACTGTCAGGGAGGTGTCTCTGTCGAGGGAGGGCAACCTTGGTTGAGGAAACAGAGACCTCGGCTCTGCGGCTTTGGGTCCCCTCTGAGCCTCGGCATCTTCTTCTATCTAAGACCTCTGTCTCTCAAGAGAACTATGAGCAGCCGTGAGACGGGAAGACAGTGACGAGCCAGCAGGGGGCACTGGGTGGTCTCGGGGGACATTTCCTGCCAGTGATGCCCCGTGGGCTCCTCTCCCACTACAAAGGTCCTGAGGTGCTCACTTGGCTCCAGTGGGGAGCTCAGAAGCCCCAGGCGCAAAAAAGATAAAATCCAAGAGGTCTGCGGGGCAGACAGGGATCCTGGGGGACACCGGAGCATGAAAGGAAACCAGTGGGTGGGTGGGGGTGTAGGGTCACCAGACAAAATGCAGGGCGCCCAGTTCACACTGAATTTCAGATCAATGAGCACATTTTCAGAATAAATACAAAACCAAAACCAAATCCATTCCGACTCACAGTGACCCTACAAGACAGAACAGAACTGCCCCATGGGGTTTCCAAGGCTGTTGTCTTTAAGGAACCAGACTGCCATGTCTTTCTCCTGCAGAGCAGCTGATGGGTCCGAACCGCTGACCTTTGGGCTAGCAGCTGAGCACTTACCCACTGCGCCACCAGTGCACCTAGTATAAGTATAGTCTGTGTAACATTTGGGATATACTTATACTTAAAAATTAAAAAAAAAAACTCTAACGTTCAGATCTAACTGGATGCCCTGTGCTTTTTCCTCTTGCGCTTTTCCTTCCGTCCCTTATTTTTATTTGCTAGACCTGGCTCCCTGCGGGGGAGGGCCCACCCACTCGTGAGCTCCACTGGCGGGTGACGGAGACCCAGAGAGGGGCCATCCGGCGGGAGGGGGCGGGGACTCGGCCCGCACCGCTTGTCGGCCTTCACGTAGTGCTGCTTCACGTCCTTCAGGTAGCGGCTCAGGTAGTACTCCAGGGTGCTCAGGAAGGTGCTGTCTTTGTCCACCAGCTGGGCGGCCCGCGGCTGGTGGGTGAGCCAGTCCATCACCGAGTCCAGCTGCTCCTGCTGGATCTGCTGCGGGGAGTGCACGGTCACGGCCCCGCCCACCAACGC